TTGAGAATGCGTTATGAGTGCGTCATGAGTGCGTCATGGATATTTCATGCCTCCGTTGAGAATGCGTTATGAGCGCGTCATGAGTGCGTCATGAGTGCGTCATGGATATTTCATGCCTCCGTTGAGAATGCGTTATGAGTGCGTCACGAGTGCGCCATGAGTCCTTCATGAGTGTGTCATGAGTGCGTCGTGGGTGCGTCATGAGTCCTTGATGAGTGTGTCATGAGTGCGTCATGTGTGCGTCGTGAGTGCGTGATGTATGTCATATGTGCGTCACGAGTGCGTCCTTAGTGCGAACTGGGTGCGTCATAGGTTTGTCATGAGTGCGTCCTAAATGCGTCATACGTAGAAAACAGTATTATAAAACAGAGGGTTATAAGACTACGATACTCTTACTGTCCTGTCTACTTCAGCTATACCCACACCCTCTTATTTCGAATACATCAAATATAAATAAAATTAACATCAGTACTAATAAAATCAACCACACGTTACAATAAAAGACCAATAGTACAAAGGTACAATAAAATAAAACACATCTGTAACATATTCCCACAAAGAAATCTTTTGAGTATAACAGTTTGACCAGCCACAGTATTTCGTCCGTCAGCCACGTGTACGTGAAACCATGCTAACACGTGCACACAAATGTGTATATACGCGTGTACGTGTGTCCATACGTGTACGCAGGGTGTTTGTACGTATGTATGTGTGCGGCCACGTGAAAGGGCCTTGTGTATCGCAGAGTGTACGGATGTCCAATGGACAAATACACGCTAGGCCGAGCACGAAGGCACCAGAAGCTGTCGTGTCATTACTCTGTCGCGACTCTCCGTTGCACGAGATCGTGTACGGCATTCGGTTCGTTATCGAAGGGCGTGGTATCGTGATCGATTTTAACGCTGTCCGGTCAACGACAGAACGATACGTGTTTTCGATAACGAACTTCCCCGTAGCTGCTTGTTATTTCGAGGTGGACGCGATTAAAATTTGCTCGATTCGAACGTCGATAATATTCGTTTGCACCCCGTCATCATAATAACCCGACGATTATTTAGCGAATTAACGAGTACAGTGATACCGGCAAAATGGTACCGCGGAAATTGTAATTAATAAGGATACTTTGCTTTTAAAATTAACTTTCCAATGTGCATGTATATTTATGCGGATCGTGTTGGTACTTTGCGTTGCATGACCTGGGATATTTCTAGGTGTGGTGTTTCCACACCTTGTAGGACACGTGATCTTTATATGCGACGTATTTTCACTCGATCAATTTCCATGTGCACTTCCACGTGTTTGTATGGTATTTATTTGCAAGGTATCTCTATACGGTATATTCCTATACGCGCTGCATTTCGATATGTTGAAGTTCCATGCGATATATTTCCACGCGTGATACCTGCACGCACTGTATTTCCACGCGTGGTACCTCTACGCGTAATATTTCCACGCGCAGTAATTCCACGCATGTTATCTCCACGCGTTCCGTATTTCTAAACGTTGAATTTCCACGCGCCTTAATTCCACGCGTGGTACCTCCACGCGCCGTAATTCCACGCGTGCCGTATTTCTACGCGCTGAATTTCCACGCACCGTCATTCCACGCGATCCGTATTTCCACGCGTTGAAATTCCACGCATCGTAATTCTACGCGTTCCGTATTTCCACGCGTGGTACCACCACGCGCCGTACTTCCACGCACCGTAATTTCACGCGTGGTACCTCCACGCGCCGTACTTCCACGCGCCGTATTTCCACGCGCCGTAATCCCACGCGTGGTACCTCCGTGCGCCGTATTGTCACGCGTCGTAATTCCACGCGTGGTACCTCCACGCGCCGTACTCCCACGCGTATTATCTCTGTGCGCCGTATCGCCACGCGTGGTACCTCACCGCACAATATTTCCACGCATTCTGTATTCCAACGCTTCGATTTCCCACATGTCCCATATTCCCACGCTTTGATTTCCCACAAGTCCCATATTTCTACGCCTATTATCTCCACACGTCGTATTTCCACGCGTGACATCTCCAGGCACCGTATTTCAACGCATCTTATATTGCCATTCGCCGTATTTCCACGCGTCCTGTCTCTACGCGCCATATTTCTACTTATTACGTCGCTACACGTTTCATTGTTACATCATTTCAAGTTCTAACATACATCATATCACGTAGAACCAAACTAACTTGTTATTACCAACCATGCATGACCCACTTTAATCAAAGCATCAACAATAATAACAAATAGAATAACAAAAAACAACGAAGTGCGATAAACAATTTCAACTTCCAAGTACAATATACAAAATGCATTGTTAAAAGAAAATTTTGCAGTGTTTGAGGAACATATAATTAACTCCAGCAAGAACAGTCGTACGAATAGGGGCTTAAATACGAAACGAGGTCGCGTTTTGAAATAATTCCGTAAAACGAGTTACACTTTTAATTGGTGCATTCTTTATGTCAGTTTCGACGTCAAAGCGTTGTTAAAACGGTAATAATCTCGAGGGTGTTTTAAATGCGAACGAATAATTGTGTTTAGCGTGGAGGCAACGGAGTTGCAAGTAGTAAATGTCAGTCACTGGAGATACGTGTCTGACTAATGCCTTTCTGTACTACTGAAATTCTAATTCTCAATATTACGTGTTAATTACAAATTACAAAATTAAATCTTATCTAAAGATAAAAATTATTTATTTCATTCTTGTATTAAATATTTTGATCCAGTTTTCATTTCAGTTTTTATTGATACTAATTAACGCGTCGACATTGACGTCCATGATGCATTGCACTTGACGGAATTACAGAGCAGCAAATGAAATTGAAACGTAAAATACATTGATATTTTCAGTAACTGTTACTCGGAGTTGACGAACGGAAGAATAATATCGCGGAACAAAATGAAATAGAACTAATGGACTTTCATATTTATACTTTCCGTAATGGACGTATTAAATTCTTTTCTCTTTGAAACAGTACATTAAATAGAGGATGATTAAGCGAGATCGAACGATTAGCTAATACATCGATTTTTCATTTACGATATACGTAACATCGCGTGAGATCCGATTGTTGAAAACGATGGTGGCTTAATGGTACACAGGTTTAATTAATGAATCACCGATTGCTAATAAGTTAAAACCGTCCAATCACGTCACGAGCGCAACCGGGCGCCGATAATGAATTAACCTTAAACACGCGACTAATTTCAGACGACCCATTAAGTGCATCAGTCGATACTGTTAATTCGGTTACGAAACAAATTTCGAAATCGAACCGCAATTTGTAGCTGTCCACGGACAATAATTATTGTCACCCCATCGATTGCGGCGATTATACATTTCTCATTGCTACTGTTCTATTCATGCATTGAATTATGTTTGCTTTTTGAATTAACTCACGTCAGAGAACTGTGGTCTTCGATCTCGTCTCCAGGTTGACCTCCAAACCCACTCTGAAAACAAAATTGTACTTTTATTTATTGGAAATTCATTTAGATATTTATTTACGAGGATTATTTAGATAAAATATACGTACAGACGGTAAAATACGATAGATTAAATATGAGGCACTTCTTTAGACACAAAAATTGCGATCACAAGAAATTGGCGCGCAACAATGACACATCGGATAGGTTCGGGAGTGTTCGGTTCGCGTCGGGTTAATGGCGTCGTGTGACGCGCGTCAGTAGAGTCAGTCAACATTGTAAGTGTTCTTTTTTTGTAAAAATGTATTAAAAGTTACAAACTACTTTAGGGCTATGATAACTTTAGAATTTGGATATTTGGGTCCTTGGAAATTCAAACTTGAGGAGTTTGGGACTATGGAAGTTTAAAATTATGTAGTTTTCAAACTTGTATATTTTAAACTTCAAAAATTTAATACTTCGAGAATTTCAAACTGCGAGTACATAGGCTTCCGAAGTTCGGTACCACGTGACTAACCGAACAGCGCCGAAGAGAGTCGAACTCCCCCGACTTGTCACTGTCTCCCGCTCATCGTGAATTAAAGTCAAGTGTTTATCAACAATGCAATAATACAAGTTCATTATAAATCAATTATGTTATAAAACAAAAAAGAAGCATTTATACAGTTGTTAATGAATAAATTAGTGACTATTGGACAACGGAAACTGCTTATAACACTGCATCATAATGCAAGGTATATTTTTCATTTAACCTCAAACGCATCGACGAAAAAATTGACGATTACACAAAAATGAAAGCGTAATCAAAACACTCGAGAATCAACTATAAATTCAAGTATTTCTATTCCAGTTCATATTCCAACCTTCTCAATCCTCCCTAAAGCCACTGAAAGTTCGCATATTATAAATCTGCAAAGATGCAGTCCACAGTTCTCGAGTACTGTGGAAAATAAAATGGGACTTCGCAAACAGTTGCAGCGAAAGAACACACGCGAAGAAAGCAAAAGGTAGGTCTCGAAAAGAAAATCAAACACACGGTAGGATGAGTAAAGAAAAAAGAAACGTATAGGAGCACAAAGGTAGGTGCATCGACGCAGAGAGGACCGGGGAGAAAATAATTTAGTCGATCGAAGGAGCTGGCTCGACGAGAACGATTCTCGAAAGTATCGAAAGCACAATATGATCGAATCGTTGGCATGCAATATCGCGAGAATTACAAGGGAAACAAGCGAAAGAACGGGCCACTTGACGAGAAATCGTTCACGCTCGAGTTTCGTGACCGTTTGAGAATCTAGACAGACCCGAGAGAGAAGAACTACTTTATGGAATACGAAACTCGATAGGGATGCTGCACCTCCATCGCCCTCTCACTATAGCCGTTTTCAGGGTGCAAATAACTCGCTGAAATCGGAGACTCTCGAATGTCGCGGAACGTTTTCTCGGCTCCCTTTATTACGTGAAAAAGATGGCACGTTTCATGTACATTGGTCTGTCGTTTGATACTTTATGGGGGTTCATGGAAATGCGCGCTTTGTACATTTAGACAATGCTTGAATTTTATTGGGGAGAAAGGGAGAGTAAGGGGTTTCTGGATGAGCAATTTTTAAGTTTGAAATTTTTATATTGACAAGTTTAATAATTTTATATTGTCAAGTTTGTAATTTTTATATTGTCAAGATTAATATTTCTATATATTGTCAAGTTTGAAATTTTTATATTAACAAGTTTAATACTTTTATATTGTCAAGTTTGTAATTTTTATATTGTCAAGATTAATATTTCTATATATTGTCAAGTTTGAAATTTTTATATTGTGAAGTTTGTAATTTTTATATTGTCAAGTTTGAAATTTTTATATTGTCAAGCTAAATATTTTTATAGTGTCAAGCTTGAAATTTTTATATAGTCAAATTTAATATTTTTATACTGCCAAGTTTCAAATTGTTATATTATCAAGTTTGAAATTTTTATATTGTCAAGTATGATATTTCTATATATTGTCAGATTTGAAATCTTTATATTGTGAAGTTTAACATTTTTTTATCTTGAAGTTTGTTACTTATCAAAAGTTTTGAGGTGTGATATTTCAAAGTAATTGACAGTGGAGATTTGATAAAAATACTGAAATATGTTTCGATCGCGTAAAAGACAGAGGCCATTTTCCTTTTCTTGAAGATTTAAAGAATGTTCCGAATCGCAACAGGTTCTTTTAGAAGATAAACACTGGCACGGTCTGCTACTTACTGCTACGGTTGTAATTTATCGTATCCCGACCACCCCTGTAGATATAAGGGTTCGTTTTTACGATATCCCAACTGACATATACCATATGTTACTCTAACAATTCTTGCGTTTCTTCAAATAACTCTGAAAACATTTCTTCGTTGTTCTTTTTTTATGGTACTCCATTTTGATATATATGTATTCTTTTTGTGAATGTGTGGTATCAGTTAGATACTAAATTTCCGAATCTCCTTTTCACATTCCACGTTGCACATTTTGTTTTTATTCTGAAATCGCTACATCCCTATGTCCCCACATTCCTATATTCCACACGTCCCTATATTCCATACGTCCCTATATCACACACGTCCCTATATCCCACACGTTTCTATATCACACGTCCCCGTATCCCACACGTTCCTATATCCCACACGTTCCTATATCCCACACGTTCCTATATCACACACGTCCCTATATCCCACACGTCCCTATATCCCTCACGTCCCTATATCCCACACGTCCCTATATCCCACACGTCCCTATATCCCACACGTCCCTATATCCCACACGTCCCTATATCCCACACGTCCCTATATCCCACACGTTCCTATATCCCACACGTCCCTATATCCCACACGTCCCTATATCCCACGTCCCTGTATCCCACGTTCCTATATCCCACACGTCCCTGTATCCCACACATCCCTATACACGTCCCTATATCCCACACGTCCCTATATCCCACACGTCCCTATATCCCACACGTCCCTATATCCCACACGTCCCTATATCCCACATCCCCATATCCCCACATCTCCATATCCCTACATGCCCATACCCCCATATCCCCATTTCCTCATATCTCCACACCCCAAATCTCAAATTGCCACCCACCAAAAAATCCCAAATTCCCAAACTCCTCCCCAAAGACCAAATTGTCGCTCGAGCATAGTCTAATAACATGTTTCAGTTAATCTTCCTAGATCGTCATCGAACGATCCATTTAACCGTACTTTTTGCCAAGCGAAAGACTTTGTTGCGCTATCTCGCGACACACAGGTCGCTCGTTTTTGTTTATATCCCGGTTGTCGGAGGGGTTGGGAGGAACGAAAAGGGGCCGAAAGACGAGGAAGAACAGGGCGAAACAGGCCAGAGGATTTCGTATGAGCCGGCTAGAATTTTCGTCGGGTACGTTAAGTCTCTAAGCGGCTTACGATTTCGTTCTACGCTTTGGGAACTGTGAGCATAGGGTGAAGAGAGGGTTACAGGAAGAGGCTGCAGGAACTTCCTGCTGGTCAGAAATGGAAACCAGAATGTCGGATGAAGAGGAAAGAATCGGGGATAAAATGAGAACCTTTGAAGTATCGTTTGTCTGCACTCTTTTTTGCATTTTTAACGTTGAATTGTTCTTCTCTGATTTTAAAAATTGAAGCTGACGTTTTCAAACACCCTTTGATTCTTGTAACGTTCCTTGACACTTATTTTCCTATAATTCCTGTAACTAACGAAGGTTGTACTTTTATGACGAGAAAACTGGTGTCAAGATTTATGGAGCGCTAGAACGTATCGACGTATCGAATTACGGTCGAAAACATTCGTACGTGGTGGGGTACAATTTGAAATTTAAATTTGGCCAGGGATTCGCGTCGCGTTTAATAGAGCAACAATGGCACGCTAATGCGCGTATCGAGCGTCGTGTATTAATTAGAATAATAAGTCTAACCGTGTCGCGTTCAGTGAAATACGACGGGAAACGGAATTAATGATGTGCGACAGGAATCGAAGCCTCTCTCGGTTCCTCTGCGTAAACCGATTACACGAGTCGCAGAAACGTTTTTCGTAGACGACGATTATTCTCGGTGAATTAATCGAGCGATGAATTTTACACGAATTCAAGTACAATAAATATAGAATCGGGAGCTTCCTATTAGTTTATTTGCTCGTTTTTAGAGTGGGAGTTCAACGATACTCTTCGACGATCGCGGCGGTGAATTCGAACATTTCGCCATGAAAAATTAACGGGTGTAATCGGTTTATTGGTCATTTGTTTGAACTGGAATTTAAACGGACATCACTTGATATTGCGTTGTATTTGTAGCGATCTCGTCTGTTGTTGTCGTGTGCGAGATTTTTGGAAATAGTGGTTACAAGTAGGGGGACTTCGAGATTTGGGAATTTTGGAAAGTTTTTGGGATTTGGGGATTTTTGGAGGTTTCTGGTATTTGAGTATTTGTATAAGTTTTTGGGATTTGGGAATTTTTAAAGGTTCTGTGGTATTTGGGAATTTTTGAAAGTTTTTGGAACTTGGGAATTTTTTAAGGTTTTTGGTGTTTGGGTATTTGTATAAGTTTCTTGTATACTTGGGAATTTTTTAAGGTTCTGTGGTATTTAGGAATTTTTGAAAGGTTTTGGAACTTGGGAATTTTTGAAGGTTTTTGGTATTTGGGTATTTGTATAAGTTTTTTGTATACTTGGGAATTTTTGAAGGTTTTGTGGTATTTGGGAATTTTTGAAGGCTTTTGGTATTTGGGAATTTTTGAAGGCTTTTGGTATTTGGGAATTTTTGAAGGTTTTTGATATTTGAGTATTTGTATAAGTTTTTGGTATTTGGGAATTTTTGAAGGTTTTGTGGTATTTGGGAATTTTTGAAGGTTTTTGATATTTGAGTATTTGTATAAGTTTTTGGGATTTGGGAATTTTTGAAAGTTTTGTGGTATTTCGGAATTTTTGAAAGTTTTTGGGATTTGGGAATTTTTGAAGGTTTTTGGTATTTGAGTATTTCTATAAGTTTTTGGGATT